CAAAGTGGAGAGGATTGAAGTGGATAAGAAAGACAGACCAAAGGTAAACAATCACCTGTAATCAAGGTACAACAAAGGTAAACAATCACATGTCATCAAGGTACAACAAAGGTAAACAATCACCTGTAATCAAGGTACATCAAAGGTAAACAATCACCTGTCATCAAGGTACAACAAAGGTAAAAATCACCTGTCATCAAGGTACAACAAAGGTAAACAATCACCTGTAATCAAGATACAGCAAAGGTCAACAATCACCTATAATCAAGGTACAGCAAAGGTAAACAATCACCTGTAATCAAGGTACAGTAAAGGTTAATAATCACCTGTAATCAAGGTACAGCAAAGGTAAACAATCAGTATATAACAAAGACAGACAATCAGTGTACTGTGAAGATAAACACATACATTTGTTTCATTGTAGAAGGACATTGTGATTGAGGACTGTCGTGTTTTTGTCAATCCATACGAGGAGGCAGATGAAGAGGTAAAGTCTTCTGAATTTACCTCTTGAGGAGTTTTAACAAGTGTTCAAATTTAATTTTGTGTTAATATGAAGTCCATTTTGTATAAATTCCCATCACTATGGTGTAAAAGGTATGAGGATACTCAAGTTTTAAACTTTTGTCAGTTGGCATCAAAGAGGGAAGAACTGATACAAAAACAAGAAGAGGAAGTGGCAGCAAAGAGGAAGTATGTGTACAAGAAAGAACCGGAGGAGGACACCCTTAAAACATACAAAAAAGGAGTCGGGAAGTACATCAATCCTACAGCACTGTAAGATTCCTACCTGTGGAAGATCTGAACAAAATAATTTTTGTTGATGAAATTTTTGATAGGAATTTTTTTGGTTCTTAACATATGCAGTCTATAGGTATGTAACGGGAGAGGAGAAAATGCAGCGGACCAGACCGGGATTCGAACCCGGGCCCCCTGAAACTCCGGTCAGGTGCTCTACCAACTGAGCTATCTGGCCACCGGCGATCGAATCCGGCTGACCGCCACACTCCTCCCTCCTTAAAGGTCTTTGGCCCTCCAAAGACCCCAACCCCCAGGCTCATCCCTGGCAGGTCTTTCACCTGTCAATTCCAGGGCATGGCACGGCACCAAATGTAATGGGAGAGGAGAAAATGCAGCAGACCAGACCGGGATTCGAACACGGGTGGCCAGATAGCTCAGTTGGTAGAGCACCTGACAGGAGTTTCAGGGGGCCCGGGTTCGAATCCCGGTCTGGTCCGCTGCATTTTCTCCTCTCCCGTTACATTTGGTGCCGTGCCATGCCCTGGAATTGACAGGTGAAAGACCTGCCAGGGATGAGTCTGGGTTGGGGTCTTTGGAGGGCCAAAGACCTTTAAGGAGGGAGGAATGTGGCGGTCAGCCGGGTTCGATCACCGGTGGCCAGATAGCTCAGTTGGTAGAGCACCTGACCGGAGTTTCAGGGGGCCCGGGTTCGAATCCCGGTCTGGTCCGCTGCATTTTCTCCTCTCCCGTTACAGGTAGAATTGTCTTATTTTATATTTAATTTTTTGTGAAGAAGAAAAAAAAATTCAATATCCATGTACAGTGTATAATTCTTACTGAAAAGTTAAATAGCAAAAGAATCATTTTGTTCACATGCATGTTTACACAACTTAACAAATAGTCCAACAAATGATTTGTAATTAATCAAACAGACAAATGGAAAGTCAATATCATCATATAGTATTACAATGTTGTTTTTTTTTTTCAGGAAGCGGTCAGCTGAGGACACACCTCCCCCCACAGTCAAAAAGAAAGCCAAACCGGAGGGGGCCAAGTTTGGTGACTTCAGCTCGTGGTAGACAACAGGAAACCCTGTGTACCGGGGTATTTGAAATTGACATTCAAAAGGCAATGCAAAAATTTATCTCATTTCCGAAGAAAATTGTATGATAGCAGATATCTCCATTTTGTTGAATACTGTTTTTTTTTCATATTGTACATGGTTATTTACAATGTGTGAGTACATTAAATAAATGTGATATGTCTATTATTGTGCTTTGGATATTGATTATTTGCTTAAGGTATTTGCTAAATACATGTACATTGTAGTTATACATGTACTTGATCATTTTGAAAAGTGGGTATCTCTTCCCCTCTAATTCCTTCAAAATTAACCTGTGAAATATCTGTAACTCAAGGCAAAAAATATATCTAAGTTTATGGGCAACAACACACTGCACCTTTATCTAATGTAGAGTAAGGGTTAGTGGAATATCATTAGACAATTCCTTATCTGAAAAACTAAATGAGAGGTACATTACACTCTTGATAAATTCACAAAGCCATTAAGCAAAATTTTCCCATATGAGTTTGACCTTAACATTAATTAGTTCCTAATGTTTTTAGCTCACCTGAGCCGAAAGCTCAAGTGAGCTTTTCTGATCACATTTTGTCTGGCGTCCATCTATCTGTCCGTCTGTCTGTAAACTTTTCACATTTTCGACTTCTTCTCAAGAACCACTGGGCCAATTTCAACCAAACTTGCCACAAAGCATCCTTAGGTGAGGGGGATTCAAGTTTGTTCAAATGAAGGGCCACGCCCTTATTCAAGGGGAGATAATTGGGAATTAATGAAAATTTGATGGTATGTTTTAAAAATCTTCTTCTCAAGAACCACTGTGCCAGGAAAGATGAAACTTATGGGGAAACATCCTCAGGTAGTGTAGATTCAAATTTGTTCAAATCATGACCCCCGGGGGTAGGGCGGGGCCAAAATGGCCGACCAAAGTTTTACATAGAAATATATAGGAAAATTCTTTAAAAATCTTCTTCTCAAGAATGCCAAAGCCACAATTGATCATATTTATATGGAAGCATCCTCAGGTAGTGTAGATTCAAGTTTATACAAATCATGACCCCCGGGGGTAGGGCGGGGCTACAATGGCCGACCAAAGTTTTACATAGGCATATATCGGAAAATTCTTTAAAAATTTTCTTCTCAAGAATAACAAAGCCATAATTGATCATATTTATATGGATGCATCCTCAGGTAGTATACATTCAAGTTTGTTCAAATCATGACCCCCGGGGGTAGTGCAGGGCCAAAATGGCTGATCAAAGTTTTACATAGAAATATATAGGAAAATTCTTTAAAAATCTTCTCAAGAATAACAAAACCATAACTGATCATATTTATATGGAAGCATCCTCAGGTAGTGTAGATTCAAGTTTGTTCAAAACATGACCCCTGGGGTACGGTGGAGCCACAATTGCCAATCAAAGTTTTACATAGACATATACAGGAAAATTCTTTAAAAAGCATCTTCTCAAGAATAGCAAAGCCATGATTGGTCATGGGACTACTTTTGGATTTAAACTTTTCAATAATAAACCAATTTTTACTTTTTCTTAGCCACAGTGCTCAGGTGAGCGATGTGGCCCATGGGCCTCTTGTATTTTTTTTTATTGTTATCCATCTTGAGTTGAAGCTAACAGTTTGTCTTATAATTTCCTGCTTTCATTGCATGTTTCTGTCACTGACCTTGAATACGCTGCCCAAGGTCATGCCATCAGGATATTATCATTAATCTCCATGTGGGTTACAAGCTGAGCTTCTCTCCAATGTACTAGTAATGGTTAACGTTGTGGAAGAAATTATACCTCTTTTAAATTAAAAGATTAGAATAACTAGTCCTCTTCTGGCAAGAATAATCTGGTTCCTGTTAAAATTGAAAATGCCACAATCCTGTCAAATATCACTTATGTAGAAAAAAGCGCAAACTTATCATCAAAATACACTCACACAACTCAATATCTGCAAGCACTTACAAAAATTTACAAAAACAACAGAAAAATTGGAAATATTGCTATTTCATCAAAACTCATTGAATCAGAAAAAAAATACCTAGTGGGGCAGATTGACAAACCATGGGACACAGAGGAAACCTATAGATCAACTGGTAGGAGTTTATTTATTGGACTGATTTATCAACTTTTCATTATCAAATATCAAGTAACTTTAACATATATGTATCATAACGAGTCAACACTTAAATGAAAATATGTAATCCATGGGAAAGGGCAAGTATCAATATTTCAATCAAGGCCTCCTGGAATGATATCCAAGAAATGACTTTGACGTCTCATTGCGAAGTGACCTTGACCTTTGAGAAAGACCTGTAGTCAGAATAATACCTATAGCTAAGTATACGTTAGTAACCTATTCCAAAGTACTATGAGACCTGGTAGCGGGCAAAGATTGAAAACACTCCTTAAACAAATATAGCATAGACAGCATTTCCGTCAGATACACAATTATTTTTAGAAAACTGCGTTTATCCACGAGGAAGACTGCCTTGAAAATTATCACGGACCAAGATGCCATTTTTTTTCTAAGTCATCCATTAATTTGCACCAATTTTGAAATAATATTGAATGTTAGCAGCTGACTGAATGTTTGATATCGATTGTTAATTCTGCTGAAATCTGAATTCATTATGGTAATTGTTAAATCACTTAGATTGTTATTAAAGAATTCTCTGCAAACATAAATCCAAATAAAGATGTGGATATATTGATGTAACCTTCATAGAACAATATATCTAATAGGTACTAAAGATGTTTACAGTTTAAAAAGTGGTAATTTTACCTTTATAATGTAAACATTGAACATCCAATCGAAGGTTTTCTGGTCACAATTTATAAGTCTATTTAATCTATCAAATGTCAACATCTAAAATCCTGAAAAGGTTATACAACCCAGGATAAATTTAGAACACAACGCTTTTGTGTTTTAATTTTTATTTTAATGTTTTGTCATCCCCTGAATCATAGTTACACACACACACACACAATTAATGTCTACATCAGTCACATCCAAACATTTAAAAGTTTAAATTGTACAGGTTTTAGAGAGAAACACATCCTGAACAAAAAAAAAAAAATGCCTATAACAAAGGCTTTCTTACGAGATCAATGCTTCTTAAATTGACGCTTACATCAATAATTTAAACACAAGGTACACTTTATTGAAAAAAAAAATTGTACATCACTTGAAATGTTACTTTTAAAATAGATCACAAATCAGGAATATTCAGCTCAGCTGAATATTTGTTATAAAATAAACCTTAAAGAAGATAAAAAATAAAATGATAATTTGACCTATTTTCTATATACATGTAAGACACAAAGTTTGGGGTGTATTCAAAGCTTTAAAATACATAACATCACAAATCAACAGCACAAATACTTACAGAATAAATTACCAGCAAAAACAAACATCAATGATAAACAGAACATTTGATTTCATATAACAAATTTTAAAATTATACAAATTATGAAAATACTTTGTCAGAAAAACTAGTCTTCCTTTGAGTAAATTGTTCTGTTAGAAATGTCAAAATGACCTTGACCCCAAATCTCAGTCCCTGACCTCTACCCTCACTCCGTGGTAACGATCGTAAGATGACGGCTTGTTGTACGGCACTCTTCGACTGGCCTTCAGTTTGTTGCGGAGGTCAGATCCTCCAGAGGAATTTCCAGATGTCGTTATGGTTACTGATTTCCCAGAGATTCTATCCCTGGCATCTTTTCGGCGGCGGGGTTCTGGAGAATAGTCTCTATACCGCGATAACTCTGGAGATTCACTTGATCGGCTCTCTTTTGATTTACGTAATCTAACAAATTAATAAATTATTTCAAGTTTATCAACACAGACATCAAATATATAAAAGAACTTTTTCAGCATAAAATTGAAAGCAGAAAATAATTAAAATACAATATTACTACATTTGTTGACATTGTTCACATGATATTAAATGGTTAATGCCTATGGGGGACCAATTGTTTTCCTTACCAACAAATGATCATTTTATCTATGCATTGGTTATCAACATATTTTCGTAGATTCTATCAGAATCCTATGCCTGATGTTAATCCATCCCTTGGAGATGGACTATTAGAAAAGTTTACGGCATTTAATAAATGAACTGTTTCTAGCCATTCAGAATTCTAAAAATTTGTGAGAAGTTTGGTTAGATATCTCATGGTACAAATAGTACATACAAGCTGTACACAAGTTAAGCCCCCCACCTCTTATTGATCCTCTCCTCTTCTACATCATCAGCATACATCCTCATTGTCCGTTTCTTCTGAGGTGAAGCCAGCAAAATGTCCAGCTCCTGCTCCATTAGGGCTGCCTCCTCATCCACCTCGGGGACCTTGGTGTCCTCTGTCAGGTCAAGGTCATCATCGGATTCCTCCTTTGGAGGAGGAGGCTCTTCCTCACTCTCCACCTCTTCCTCTTTGGGAGTTTTCCCACCCAGAATACTCCTCAATCGCTCCTCTATTTCCCTTTTACTCTGGGGCTTGGCACCTAATAAGAAATTTCAAAACTATTACAAAAGGTCTTACAATTCATTTTTTTCATGATAAAAACAGAAGAATATGAGAAAACTAACACAAGCAGACTGGCTGATTGGCAGTAAGCATTCACAGAGTGCTGCCCTAATTACAAGTTTATACATGTACTGATGTAGGGGTTACACAAATTATTTTTTTATTCAAAGAATCTTTTCATGATCTTACCAAATTCTTCCAAATCATCTGTGTCCATTTTGATATTAACCGTGTCGTCCCCAAATATATCTACATCGTTATAGTTTATAGTTGACCGCTGTGCCGCTATAGCAGTCCTGGCCTCCCCTCTCTGTTCTTTGAGCTGTTTTGAGCGGAATGTTTCTTTCCTTAAAAACAAACAGTTTATTTATGCATCTAATTCACTTTTTTGGGAAAATTTAAAGACACTTGTTTTTCCTAGATTACAAATAATAACAATTAAAATTTTACCTTGATTTGCTGACCAGACCTCTCTCGCCTGAAATGAAACACAAAAAATGTACATGTATTTTAAAGAATCAATCATTTTTAGTGAAAATGAACTGATTTAGAGTATTGATACAATAAAGAAATGTACATGTTCTTACCCGTGTAATTAGGACTGCTGTACTTCTGGTATGCTTTACTGGACTCTCTACCATGTAACTTCCTATCAGCTTTAAAAATACAGGTACATATTTGAGAGTGCAGTTGTAATAAAAAAAACATTTTCTTAGAAAATATATACATACAAATGTAATATACTACCAGTAATAGCTATCATCTTTCATAATGAATCAAAAAATATATTCCTTATATGATTCTGGATAATAACAATAAATTTTTTTTGACATTTACTTTTCATGGCGTATCGCAGGAAGAGATATTTGTTTCGTTTGTAAGGCTTGCCCAGTCGCCACTTCCCTGGAGGCCATGGGATGTCTTGTGGTTTCTCATTGGTTGATTTAAGTTTCTCTTTGACATTCATTTCCTTTTTTCGCTTTTCAACTTTCTCTTTCTTCTTTGTCTTTTTCTATAAATGAATTTGCATGTAAATTTAAACCAAAACCCAGTGTCAAGTACTATAATTGAGTCATATCACACAATTTGTCTCAAATTATTCAGAACTATTTCAAATTTCTGATAAATTTGCAAAAATTACTCAAGTCACAAACTTTTACACATTTACCATACTGCAGAATCACTATTGTTCATATGGAACCAATGGTTATGGAGTTTATTGGTCATCATTAACCCATGAGTTAACATTCCCATGACATGAACTTGGTTAAAAATACATTGGTTCACTGATCATTACCAAGATTCCACAGTGCCCAAACAAATTTGACATAAATGAATTAATGCTGATTGAAATTAGCACCTATAGAAAAATTAATTGTCTTACCTCCTCATCAGATGAAGATGAAGAGCTACTGCTGCTTCCACTGCTGGAACCACTGGATGATGACGAAGAAGATGATGATGATGAAGATGACCCTGACCGACTCGATGATGACGATGATGATGATGACGACGATGAGCTACTGCTGGAGGACTCCCTGGCTTTCTTTGATTGTTTGGCTTTGTCTTTTCTAGACTGCCTTTCCTTTGATGTCCTTTGACTTGTTTCCATGACTGGCTTCTTCTTTTTACTGCTCACTTTTGTTGATTCTGGAGAAAGAAACAGTAAAACTACAGAAAACTTAACAGAAATTTTATTCTGCAATGACTGAGAAGTTATCATCAAATTAAATTCTCAAATATTCCCAAGATAATTTTTAATGGAAAGAATTTTACAAGAGGCCAAAGGGCCTAAATAGTCTTCTCAGTAAAATTATAACTATAGGATCAATGGAGACCTGCCTTACACAAGAACCCCCAGCCCTGGAGCCATAAATTTCTATTTTTCTTTCAGCCAAATGATTTTTATAATCATGCTAATAGTTAGACTGCTTGATGACCAGGGGTAAAGAAGAAAATTTATAATGATTGCATTAAATTTGATGTTTTAAGTCCAATGTTTTCAAGCCCAAGGTTGGAGGGAAATTCATAATTTTTGTTCCCTTTCAGTCATACATCCCATAAGTCAAAATATGTTAAAATTGGTAATACATTCAAGAGAAAATGCTTAATATTTTCAAATGTTAATGCACAACCATGGACAAAAACAGTTAGGAATAGGTCACCTGAGTAACTCAAGTGTCCACAAAAACAACATAGACATTAGAATGACACACACTGTATACAGCAAAACTCGTCTAGTAAGAACACAGATATAGCGGATTTACGGATATAGCGAAGTTTTTTTTGGATAACCAGCTATAAAAAATTAACAAATTCCTTATATGGATATAACAAATTACGAATATAGCTAAGTTATTTCATTGGTCCCAGTGAATTCGTTATAACAGAGTTTTACTGTACAGGGATCGACACTAATTTTTACACCATAGTTGTCAGCAGGGCTAACCATTTTGAATTTCTACTAGCCCTGTTCATGTATTAATTGTCCAGCAGCCGAAGGCTGTTGGCCGAGTCGCGAAGCGATGAGGGGGTAGGTGCGGGAGGGGGTTTCCCCCGGAAAATTTTTAAAATAGAGATGCCAAATCCTCCATTCTAGCTGTATTTTGGGTAGAAATTATATGCCACTCTATGACTGTACCTTAGACATTCTTCTATTCGAAAAAGTCCACATATATAATCATTTAGGGTTTTTCGAATCACCTTTAAATTTTACAATTTTGACAAACAAAAAAAATAATTATAAATGAGGTTTGAAAATAGATTTAATAATTATTAGATACATTGTGTGTAATTGATAATTATTTTTGTTGCTCTGAGTGAGTATTTAGTAAAATTCTTAGTAGCCCTGCAGGGCAAGTTTAAAGGCATGTTTGGTAGCCCAACCTCAATATTCAGTTGTCCCGGGCCAGCGGGCTACCGTTAGTGTCGAACCCTGCTGTATACTTTCCTGTTTTTCCTTCTTTTCCTCACCTGACTTTTTATCCTTTTCACTGACTTCCATGTCTTTGGTTCCTTTTTCTATCTTGTCCCCATCATCCATCAGATCTAACACATCTTCATCTTCCTCCATCTTCTCCGGCTGTGAGTCTGTCTTCTTCTCACTCTGAGGGGGCACCTTGCTGGGCGGCGATCTGACTTTGGCTGAGGAGGGGGATGTCTTCTTTACTGGCTTTCTCTTCTTTGGTGATTCATCTTCATCCTCTGAGGAGCTAGAAGAAGAGGAGGAGGATGAAGAAGAACTACTGCTGCTGACTTTCTTTTTCTGTTTCTTCACCAGCTTCTTCTTCCTTGGTTCTTTTGTTTTGTCTTTATCTAGATTAACAGATAAATTTTTTTCTGTGTGTATTTACTAATTTAGTCTTGTGATTCAATCAAGTAGATATTTACTACCTTTCTAAACCAGAATGAACACTGTTTAGAGAAAACTTGGAATGAAAACTGTACAGTTTAACAAATCAATGATTTACAATATTACATGCATATATATGTAACAGCTCTGGTTATGTATGTTTACCAGTGTCTAAGTCTGAGGTTTCCTCTGCCCTACTGTCACCTCGTAAGACCTCCTCGTAGCTCCTGCTCAGTTTGAGCATGGCTCTGGCTGTATACAATGGATCTTGCCATACCACATTACCTAAATAAAGTGTAATCACCCATAATGTTAGGTTCAAAAATTAAAAAAAAGTATCCAATCAACTTGACCTTTACAGAATAAGAATATTGTACAATGATTTATTATACTGTATACTGGAAAAGTTTCGCCTCCATTTTATTTTCGCTCCTTTTGCCCTACCTTCAAGTGGGTGAATTCAAAATGGGGCAAATACAAAGAGCACACAAAATATCTTTATCAGAACTCTGATTGGCGAATTTATAATGAGGCAAAATTAGTTGCAAGTGTGAAAGGGCATAAATAACATGGGGCAAAAAGAACTCTGTATACAATAGTCTCCTTTTAAATGGACAATGCTGCATTTACCTCCCACTTACAAATATTATTTTTTATTCCTAGCACACTAATCAAAATAACTTCTCATCATTCTATATCCCATCACACAACAAAAGCATATAAAAAATCTAAGAAAACCTACATGACTGATCATCGATCCATTCAACATTCCCAGGATTGAATTCTTTGTAGTATTCAAACACATCCTTTGTATTCATGTCTTTAAGTCCACGAAAATGAATGGCCTCCAAGCGAATTCCACGATGATCTTCATCAATTTTGTCTTCCTCAAGTCCCAAACTTTAGTAAACAGGACAGGGAGAAAACATTATTTTTAAATAAGATGAATTAGCTGATTATTTTTGGGAAATTTCATGACAGCTTTGAAGAGCAGCAGATACAATTATACATGTATTTCAAGACAGAATAAAAGTCAATCATATGCACACCTTCTGTACAACTCCTGGAGATTGATCGAGGGATCCCTCTTAGATATTTCAAGACCAAGTCTTCTTGCTCTATCTGCCTTGGGTTTGGATTTTTTCTTCAAAATAAAATAAAGAAATGTAGGTAATAAGCACAGATACACCCTAGGAAAAACACAGTTGTTTACCCTTTGTTCCTAGAGAGAGGAACAATGCATTATCACCCATGGTTTTCTGTTGATGCCACACATACTGTTATATAAATATATACATGATATAAAACAAGTTACATTTTGTATGAAGAGCCAGACTTACATTGTGGTATTCATCTCTCCGAGAATCATGGCTTTCAGGTATCTGTAAAAGAAATTATTTGAAACACTTACAAACAATTCAGGAGAGAAGTTATTTAACCTATGTTATACAATATAGCAAAACTTGGTGCAGTTTACACTTTATAAATTAACAAGAGGCCCATGGGCCACATCGCTCACCTGAGCACTGTGGCTAGGCAAAGTATAAATTGGTTTATTATTGAAAAGGTAAAATCCAAAAGTAGTCCCATGAACAATCATGGATTTTCTATCTTAGAGAAGAAGATTTTTAAAGAATTTTCCTATATATTTCTATGTAAAACTTTGGTCGGCCATTTTGGCCCCGCCCTACCCCCGGGGGTCATGATTTGAACAAACTTGAATCTACACTACCTGAGGATGCTTCCATATAAATATGATGAATTATGGCTTGGTCATTCTTGAGAAGAAGATTTTTAAAGAATTTTCCTATATATTTCTATGTAAAACTTTGGTCGGCCATTTTGGTCCCGCCCTACCCCCAGGGGTCATGATTTGAACAAACTTGAATCTAGACTACCTGAGGATGATTCCCCATAAGTTTCATCTTTCCTGGCACAGTGGTTCTTGAGAAGAAGATTTTTAAAACATGCAACCAAATTTTCATTAATTGCCAATTATCTCCCCTTGAATGAGGACATGGCCCTTCATTTGAACAAACTTGAATCCCCTTCACCCAAGGATGCTTTGTGGCAAGTTTGGTTGAAATTGGCCCAGCGGTTCTTGAGAAGAAGTCGAAAATGTGAAAAATTTACAGACAGACGGACAGACAGACGGACGCCGGACAAAATGTGATCAGAAAAGCTCACTTGAGCCTTCGGCTCAGGTGAGCTAAAAAGCAAAAGCTACCCCAAGTTAACATAGGCTAAAATAAGCTTTATTCCTTATATTTCAGTGTAGTCAATAAGACAATTTTTCCTCTGAAATGCTTTCAAATTGATCTGAATGATCATAATTCAAAAGTAACCGTAACATCAAGCGGAGTAATAAGTTTTTGACGTAACTCATTGTAATGAAATTATTACATACTAATTAAAAATAATTTTTTCTTTCCTCTTTGATCAGGATATGACAAATTGCTCAAATGGGTTTAAATTAAAATTGAATAAGTATTTGCTCTCGCCCTAACAGTTGCACATCAAAATATTTTTTTCAAATATCTTATTTAAGAAATTATATCTTTAGTAAACCATTACCCTGATTTGGGCAATAATTCTTGGTCACGACCACATAATATTCTGATTTAGGAAACTGTAGCAAGTACAGTTACACTTAAAAAAACCCCAACTTTCTATATGAATTGGAGTGGGTGCAAGTGTTCTGACAGACTAATTAATGTAGTTTTTTTGTATCAGTAAACAATCTGATTCAAATCAGATGGATGAAGTCACCTTAAGAAATCCTGTGGATTGACCCTTGACCGGAGTCTTCCCTAATCTAACATTGAACTCAACCGGAGTGTCATCACTAGAGTCACTTATTTCTCCTTCCTCACTCTCTGACTTTGATTTGATCACTCTGCTGTCATCTTGCACATTTAGTTTCGATCCAACATCTGATTTCTTCAAATTTCCCAAGCGGACGTTAAACTCTACGTCATCCTCTCCCGAACCATCCTCGCTATCAAGATCTTCATTGTAATCAAGCTCTTCCTCAACATTCATAGACACAGCATCCCGTTTTTCTTCGTCTGATTCTGTATTATCTATGCATATTTTCAAGTTTGGGAGCTTGTGGTCTGTTTCTTCTTCCATCTTGAATCCAAACCGGATGTTCAATAAAATAAAAATTGAAATCGTGGGAATGATCCGGATAAATGAGACCATAGACTGTTTTAGTCTTCAGATATCCTTATTTTTATGCCCCCGTAAACGAAGTTTGGGGAGTATATAGCTTTTGTCGTGTCCGTCCGTCTGTCTGTCTGTCTCTCTGTCTGTCTGTCTAGCTGTCTGTCTGTCTGTTTGTCTGTATGTCCGCAAAAACATTAACCTTGCCCACAACTTTTGATTTAGTGAAGCTATGACATTCATATTTCACAGAAAATACCTTTCTTTGGGTACCACCAAAGTTGACCTTTTGACCTTGACCTTGGAGTTTGACCCACTTTTACACAAACATTTTGAACTTTTACTTTGGCCATATCTTTTAAGCAGTAAAAAGCAGGACATTTATACTTAATATATGTATTCTTTATAGAAAGACCTTTCATTCGATATTAACAATCTTGACCTTTTGACCTTGAACATTTCTGTACTTATGAAAAAACTTTAACCTTGGTTATAACTTTTGAACGGTAGGTGCTAGGGCCTTAATACTTCACATATGTAATCCTTGTAAAAAGACGCAAAGAACCATGACCCTTTGACCTTGACCTTGGAGTGTGACCTGCTTTAAAATACAACATTGAACATAATTCTTGAAGGGTTACAACTAGGGCTTTCATACTTCACATATTTAATCCCTGTTACAATACCTTTCATTTGATATCAAGAACCTTGACCCTTTGACCTTGACCTTGGAGTTTGACCCACTTTTACACAAAAATTCCAAACCTTTACTTTGGCCCTAATATTTAAACGGTAGATACTTGGAATTTCAAATTTCAAATATTAATTTTTTGTGGCAAGACCTTTCATTTAAAAGCACCAATTTTGACCTTTTGACCTTGACCTTTGAAATTCCCGTACTTACGAAAAAACTTTAACCTTCACCATAACTTTTGAACGGTAAGGGCTAGGGCTTTCATACTTCAAATATGTAATCCTTGTGAGAAGACCTTTCATTAGATATCAAGAACCTTGACCCTTTGACCTTGACCTTGACCTTGGAGTTTGACCTACTTTTTACAAACTTTAACATTGGCCATAACTCTCGAACTGTAAGGACCAGCGCTTTTATACTTCCCACATGTAATCCCGCAGTTTGTCCTACACCGCAGTTTGTCCTACCTTAAAAAATGTTAACCCTTGAACCGGTAGTTAAAATAGGAGATGTGTCTAAATTTATAAGTTCTTATTTATATTCTGTACTATTTGTTTAATTATTTCAAAAGTTTGAATTTTTGACTTAATATGTCTGTGGTCTTGACGATGCAAGATCGGGTAAAGTTATCTACATTTAAAATATTTTGACTCGAACAGAAGCTGTTAAAGATTATCATGATCTTGAGATTCAAAGTTTTTGTATCGACCATAAAATTTCCTCAGGTCTCCTTTCAGCAGATTTCCTTTTTATGTGTCACTAGATATATTTTGGTTTACTATCTAAACCAATTTATTAAATAAAAACATTCTCTGCAGAATTCGAATATTCTATTGTTATTCTACATATCAGTTCTTTATTCATCAAAGGAGTGAACTCAAACCAAGTCTCAACACGAGTATCAGCCTCAGGTGGACTCTGTACCTGTACATGTATGTGGCATTTCTTGGTCGATCAGATTTTAAACAGAGACAGTTTACAGACAAATGAATTGATATTACAAGGGCTTAAAATCAATATCAACGTTTCTCAAATTTTATTGTCGATTGCAATTGCAACTTGTGATAGGTGGAGTGTTGACTGACATTTTGAATTAAGGTATCAGGACAAATGCAATAGCCTCAGATTCAATGGAATTGAACGCTTAACAGATATGTATGAGCTGAATACCCAGTATATTTAGAAATAATTTTCATGTTTTAGTATCAGTAGGCAAGAGGGGACATGGCCTAATTTATACTTTGTCCTGCCCTTGAAGAGTTATCCCCCTTTGATTTAACTAGATAAAAATCAATGCTAGAAAAATCTGTCCGGTGAAAAAATAGTTTTCAATCATTTTTCTATTCCTAATGATAAAATATGTGTTATCACCGGAGCATTTCTTGATACCCCCAATGTTTATTATTTCATATAAGGTAAGGTTTTTCTCATATTTTTTGTATTTGAAAATTAATGAAATTTTCACAGAATAAAGAAGACAATATCACTAAGTAATGCTGTCAGTGAGATTAAGTTTGACCGTTTTATTTTAGAGGCAAGGTCTGGTCAAGATCATTACATTTTCCCTGGACATTAAGAATAAAAAAAAGAATACTGTTGCCAATCCTGCGATCCCTACAAGTATTTTTAAAAAAAAAAGGTTGCATGACTTGATTTTTTTTTTTTTTTGCATAAAAAAGATACTACCATATAAGGCCTATAAGATGATATTACCAAATTGACAAATATAATTTAACTAAAATGGATAATTGGCTAATCCCAATTTTCTCTACTTTTTAATTTTTTTTAGGATACTGAGTATATATTAGTTATTTTTATATGTTTCTTATATTTATTTTTTTTTCTTATTTTCACATATGGTAAGATGGCGCATAAAGATACACTGTAAAAAAATAACTAGTTAAATTCACGAAGAAAACTAGTAAATTTACTGTCCATACAATCACTACCTTAAAAGTAGTTTTACCAGATATTGGTATATTTACTAGATAAGATTAGTAAATTTAGAATTGATATAAGTAACTTTCACTAGGTATCTAAGTATCTATACGACCCCCGCTCCACAACTCACTATCTTAACCAGTAAAATGAAAGTTTACTAATCATGACCAACGCTTTACGAGGCGGGCATGTGGTATCTGACCCCTAGTACCCCACCCTCAAAATTTCAGACCCCAGGGTAGGGGACTTCGATGTCCCCGAGCCCGATGTTTATTCGTATAGTATTATATAGTAGGGCTAAAAACTGGAGGGCCATATCTCGGAAACTAGAGATGGTACCATCACCATTTTTTCATAGAAGTGGTATCTGACCCCTAGTACCCCACCCTCAAAATTTCAGACCACACAGCTTATGTTAAAATTTTGAATTGCGAACTGCGTTCTAGAACGCAGTTCACTTTTGAATTGCGAATAGAGAACTGCGAACTGCGTTCTAAAATCTGAACGCCATACGAGGCACACTAGTTAAATTCACTAGGTTTTTCTTTCAGTGTACAAAAACAAAACGTTTTGATCGTTTACAAAGAAAGAAAACACTTTTTACGGATTTTTGGCTCAAATCAGTACTTAGATTGGACCTGAGCATTGAAAAGGTAACATGGTTCTATAGTTTGTTCAAAAAATCATATTTATTTGATATACAGTACTTTGAAACTTTAGTCCCTGATTATTAATTCAACTTACATTTGATAATTTCTTAGAGTCAATGATTCTGTAAAAATTTTAACTAAATTCTTTGTTCTATAAAAATTTTCAGAGACAGAAAAGAAGATATTTTCATACGCCACCGTTCAGACCAAAATATAGACCCTGCTAGTTTTCAAACGCAGTTTACCATTTATACTTAAAGTAGTACAATCGTGATGAGGGAAGAAAAATAATGTCTCTTACACCTAAATATATAAGACATATGTAAGCAAATATACTTTGAATATTTCATCTAGTCAGAAACCAGAGAAGAATCCTACCTTTAAAAAATTCTTCTTTCAATAGACTTCGATGCAATCTTCAATAATTATTTAATGCTTTAATAATAATTTTTTTGAAAATATCTTTTGATGAATCCTTTTCTACTTTAAAATACATTGAAATTATACATCAAAGTATAATTTTAAACACAATCAATATATCAAGGTTAGAAAATTTGGTCCTAATATGCAGGGGCGTAACAACGGGGGGGGGGGGGGGGCAGGGGAAATGTTAATAGAAAGCCTAGTTGCCCCCCCCCCCCACTTTTAGTGATGTATGGAAAATGTAGTATTAGAATTGGTACTGAAAGTAGTTGACACTGAGAAGAAATTTACCCCCCCCCCCCCCCCCCCCCCCCCCCCCCCCCCCACGAAATGGGATTTTCGACTTTGGGCAACTTTTCTTTTTCTTTTTTTTTTTTTTTTTGGCTGTCAACTTTTTCAGGTAAGTAAAGAAATTCAGGTAAGTAAAAAAAAAAATTCCTCTGGCTGCCCCCCCCTTTCAAAAACGATGCTACGCGCCTGATATGTGTCGGATACCTTAAAATTGTTGGACATTATTTTCATACTGCTGTGTCTACGAATTATTCAGTTGTTACCCGATAAAGTCAAGCACTTGGCACACGGCGGGTAAGACCGATTAACAAGGGTATAGGTAATTACTTAGAAATGAGTCCTGCTCCAACTTGAAAACTTAAAAAAAAAAAAAAAAAAAAAAAAAAAAAACACCAAAAACCCTAATCTGCTCCAAAAACCTTAACTGGGTCATAGTTGAAATTGTAGCATCTAAAACTTTTACTTACTAGAAGCATCTTCCATGCATATCTGATTATTGTAGGACAAGAATTTAAAACATACATACATGTATGTATATTATATGTATATTGATGTGTTTAATCATGTGTGTGTATTTAATTTTTCCAACAGGTATGAGAGTGGGAGAGCGAGGTTTATATGTTTTGCAATTACATAAATAAAAAAAATTAAACAGTTCTTATTTCATAATCTTTGATAAAGTTATGATTATGATGTATATACTAGTATATTTCAGACTGTTTATTCAGTCGACAGATAATACAACAGAACGTGTGTTTGAAGATAACCTTCTACTACAAATACTAATTAGACCTACGTAAAAGTCGACAGAAGTTTTATCAAGATAATAAGGGAATCATCTCAAGATTCTGTAAATATCAAATACGTATCTGAGTCACAAAGGAAAAACTCTGTCTTTAATATTAAATCCTATTTTCCTGAGCAATTCATAAAAACAGATACTTGCGGATCAAAATTCAAACACGACC